GATACAACACTTCACCAGTAGCTCACACTCACCATGCCCAGTTCTTATTTGTAGCTCTGGAAGGCAGTAGGATGTAGTGGTTACAGACAGGACTAGAGCTCATAGATTTGACACATTCCTTCTGAAAAGTAGCGTGGATGACTCTTGGGTGTGCTCTTTTCGACAAAACTGTATCCCCATTTCTCAATACAGTGAGCTCATGCAAACTCCCAGCTCCCCATCTATGAAAAGGATGGGGTAGAGCATGGGTTCCCAAACTGGGGGTCATGCCCCCCTGGAGGGGACATGAAGAAATTCCAGGGGAGGCGCAAGGCAACCCCCCCATCAGTTCCTTTTTTTCCCTCAACGTGTGTGTGTGTGTGTGTTTCAAAAAGGGGGCATGAAGCCAAAAAGTTTGGGAACCACTGGGATAAAGGAATAGTTGCTTACCTCTTTGAATGGGATAAGGAAATTTTTTTAAGTAACAATAGCTATGATATACATAGGCTGTGTCTAGACTGGCCAGTTTTTCTGGAAAATCAGCTGCTTTTCCGGAAAAACTTGCCAGCTGTCTACACTGGCTGCTTGAATTTCTGCAAAAGCACTGACAATCTCAAGTAAGATTGTCAGTGTTCTTGCGGAAATACTATGCTGCTCCCGTTTGGGCAAAAGGCCTTTTGCACAAAACTTTTGCGCAAAAGGGCCAGTGTAGACAGCACAGATTTGTTTTCCACAAAAAAGCCCCAATTGCGAAAATGGCGATCGGAGCTTTTTTGCGGAAAAGCGCGTCTAGATTGGCCACGGACGCTTTTCCCCAAAAAGTGCTTTTGCGGAAAAGTGTCCTGCCAATCTAGAAGCGCTTTTCCGAAAATGCTTTTAACGGAAAACTTTTCCATTAAAAGCATTTCCGGAAAATCATGCCAGTCTAGACGTAGCCATAAAGTATTAATATAAGGAAATAAAAGAGCTTGTTGGGTGGTGTGTGCTTTATCACTGAGCTATACTTTTAAGTAACAGACTTTGAGCCTAGTCCTATTGATATCAACATTTCAATGCAAGGAGGATTGAGCCAAAAAGAGCAAGAAATTAATATTCCCCCATTTCTGATGTACATAAGCTGAAAAGCTCATAGCATCTTGGAGGATTCACATTGAATTGTAGCATTTGCTTCCTATATTCAGCCTATTCTTGGAGTTTTATGGATGGTGTGTTTGATGTGGGAGTGAGAGCATGGCCTCTATCACGGTGCTTTAGAGATAGAAACTGCCTGCTGCAGATCTGAGAGACGAACACAGAGAGCAGAAAATCCCTGCATCTTGTATCACTTCTGGCTGAGCTGGAGGTAAATGGGTGATTGTTCAACCTGCATTCAGAACAGAGGTCTGCAAAGTTAGATCTCCCTTACGTCAAGTTTTTTAAACCAATGGATCAATGGACATTTCCCCTGAGTGAGGAAGACATTTCTTTTCACCTTTAGCTCTGAACTGCCCCTCTTTACCTCACACTATTTCAACCTTGTTCCAGAATTGCATCATATGAAACTTGGACAGCAGGAGGGGCTTGGAACAAGTGACCATGGCTGGGTAAATATTTCCAGTGCTTAAGATACACCCCTTCAGCAGCCCAGACATGAGGCGAGGAAAAGCAGCCACAACACTTGAGAGAGAAGGGGTATGAGCAGCAGGAGAATAAAGGGGAAGCAAAATGAACAAATAAGACTTCAAGCAGTTCCTAGTGGTGCAGAAGGGAAACTTGTGGTACTTGTGTCTCCAAGGCAATTGTCACACTTCTAAAAATATGTAAAAGCGACACTGAGGAGGAGTGTAAGAGACAAATGAGAAGAAAATGATACAGAAAGAAGAGAGATGGAGTGGAGGGAGACAGGGAAAAAAAGAACAGTAGCCAAAGCAGAAGAAGCAGAGAGATCAGAGCCAACAACAAACACCATATGCAGCAAAAGTCCTAGAGAACAAGACCAATTCAGAGTTGAGTGGGTTTTTTGATTGTTTTGTTTTTTATAAATTACTTTATTTTTCTTAGAGTACAAAAGTTATAAATATAATTCATGTAGAACAATACTTGACTAAAAACCACTGGACATTTCTGCAGAGCAAAACAAGCTTGGAAGCAGCAGGGAGCACACAAAGCCAGCCCCTCAGTCATCTAGGTGGACCTTGGGCACTCAGAGCAGCAACAAAGTGAGTGAAGAACACTAATATAATGGAGGCAGGGCACTGAAGCCTCCAATATATAAAACTAGTTACCTCTTTCCATTCTGAAAATTGACCATTTATTCCTACCCTTTGTTTCCTATCTTTTAACCAGTTATCAGCCCATGATAGGACCTTCCCTCTTATCCCATGACTAGCTGGAGTTACCCAGCGTTGCTCGGGACAGGCGGTGGGGTCCTGCCCGGGGTGCCCCATGTGAGGGGCGGGAGGGGGCGAGCACAGGAACTAGGGTAGGTGGGGCAGCCCAGTTCGTGCCTGGGGCTGCAGGTGCTGCAGGGGGCAACAACCCCACCGCCCACCCCAAATGTTTCACCCCACTACCTGCTGCACTATGGGGCTACGCTGGGGGCTCCCCTCTCCTGCGGGCCGCGGTGAGCAGGTGCCGGGCTCCCCGCCACGCGACTAGGAAGCTGCGCCGGACCCCAGGCCGCTACTAGCACCACCACTGCCTCCCTGCTGGGCTCGCCCCACTGTGCCCGCAATCACCCCCTAGCGGTGGCCGCAAGCTCCAGCCTGCCACTCGGCAACCCTCAGCCGCCACTGGAGGGGAGGGGCCCGGGCCAAGTGACATCACGGGCAGGAGGAAGGAGGGGCCTCCCCTGCCCTGGACACGCCTGCGCAGTTGAACAGCCTGGTAGAGGTGAGTGGGGCAGCTGCCGCTCGGAGCACCGCCCTTCCCCTCATGCCTCCGGCGCCAGCCTTAGTGACTGTCCCTGCCGCTTCCCCCAGGAAGCTGCTTCTCCCCTCACTGCCAAAAGTACATTAAAACCTTTTCCTGGAGGAAAGGTTACCCCATGCGAAGTTTGGTTGCAGCTCTTATAGGGTGTGTCTAGACTACATGGCTCCCTCAACAGAGCCATGTAAAGTAGTTTACTTGACATAGTCAATGAAGTGGGGATTTAAATAATCCCCGCTTCATTAAAATAAAAATAGCCGCCACGCTGTGCCGACAATCAGCTGATCCAGCACAGCGCGGCAGTCTAGATGCAGCACGCTAGACAAAGGCTTCCCTTGTTGACCGTGCCGCGTCTAGACTGCCGTGCTGTGCCGGATCAGGTGACTGTCGGCATAGCGTAGAGGCCATTTTTATTTTAATGAAGCAGGGATTATTTAAATCCCACAATGGTTGTGTCTAGGCTACATGGCTCCATCGATGGAGCCATGTAAAGTAGGTTACTCAACATAGTCAATGAAGCGGGGATTATTTAAATCGATGGAGCCATGTAGTCTAGACACATCCATAGTGCCCAAGTTATTAGCGCACAAACATACAAACATTCTCCTTTATATATTAGATATGTCTGAAAGTTTCTGAGATGAGATAAACGCACAATGCCTGCATTGCTATTGCCTGTTCAAAGAGCAACAAAAACAGACCCATGCTTCTGTCCACATTAGGATTGACATCAAGCTATCCAGAGACATATTTAAATGTGATAGAGCATACTATTTCCCTGAGCAGTGTGCACTGGGATTTTTGTCTGAAAATCAGGCTTTTAGTTTGACCCCACAGACAAATTATAGGACTGTTTCCTAGCACTAGTATATCAACCTTTTTAGAAAAGTTTCCCAAGTTTTAGAAATGTTTTAGAAATGGAGGTTATCACAGAAACCATGCTAGGACCTGCTAGCAATAGCCTCTATTTAAACACAGTGTGGCTAACACATTCTAATGTTAATGTGGACAAGGTCACGGTGTACAATTCCTTTAAAAAAAAAAACTCAAAAATTGAGACAAAAGAAAGAGCTTCAATACTAGAAGACAGTGAAAGATCACATGCCCACAGTACAGAAAGCATTTTAAAAGAGACAAGAAATTTGGCTATCTGTCTGTGCAATTTCATGAGAAAACCCATGAAAGAATCACAGGCACTGACTTAGCCATGATCAGTTAGGCTCACCCATTGATTTACTACCCTGAATAGTTTGAAAGAGCCATTGCCTGGTTGGGGAGATGAGCCAGGAAGATGCAAGATGGCTTGCTAAGCACAAGGAAACCTTTTCTGGACTATCAATTAATTTGTGCTTTCAAGTAACCCCAAGTGAACATAAACTAATTTTCTACTAATTTTCCTAGTTACAAAGTAATTGTGACAGAAGCGCTATGAATTGGTTTCTTGGCTTTTCTAGGTAGATACACTGCAAAGCAGTGTCTTGGACACAAGAGAGCACAAGAGCCATTGAATTCTGTCCCTACATTGACAAGCGCATGAAGGCACAAAAGAGGTACCTGGTACAAACTCTTTTTGCTGAATGCTCTGCTGATGAGATTGCTTTGAATGCAACGGCACCTCAGCCAGTGTAGCTTGGGTACTTGTGAGATAAGAATTTTCTAGAACTGGAGCTCTGAGCAACAACTCATCGTTTACAGTTAAATACAGAGATTACATGTTACTATGACTGAAGCATTTTTTTCTATCATTAGGACATGTCTACACAGAGTTTGGTGTTTTGGAAATTAAACAGCAAGATCATATCCACCGATATAAAGACTTAAGTGACATATAATGCAAAAACAATGGCACAATGATGAAAGTCTGATTGCTGGAAGCATCCAGATAGGACTTGTGGGCTGACAATGACCTTTTAAAATAGACCCCCAACATGCAAAGAAGGGAACTCCTGTAGTTTACTTAACAGAGGGACACGTGGGCAATTAACTATACATAATGAATGTGAAAGGAACGATTCTGACAGCTGTACATAAAGAACATGAAACAGACAGGATGGTAGCTGCCCTCTTCTTTAATATACAGCCAATGCATACCTCATGTAACCTAGAGGTATTTAGCTTTTTTCTCAGCAAATAAGAGATACCCTTTTATGGCAGTCTGAATAGCTGATTCCAATTGCATGTGGTTTAATAACCACAGATATCTCAAATCATGACCATTGCAGACAATTTTGTATAAAAATTTAATCTGAATATGAGATTAACCAAAAAATAAGATAATAGACATTTTGCAAGGCAGAAAGAAAGAACAAGAGTGGTCGAAGTACTGCTCATAGGCCTTTATAATGTGTCCTGAAGTAGCCCTCATCTTTAATTCTGGGTTGCAGTTAATGGAGACCATAAGTCTCTGCATGCAGTCCTCCTTGATCCACCAGCTTCAATTTTCATCGAAGTGGAGCACCTCATAGGGTATGTCTACACTACCACCCTAGTTCGAACTAGGGTGGTAGTGTAGACATACCCTATGAGGTGCTCCACTTCGATGAAAATTGAAGCTGGTGGATCAAGGAGGACTGCATGCAGAGACTTATGGTCTCCATTAACTGCAACCCAGAATTAAAGATGAGGGCTACTTCAGGACACATTATAAAGGCCTATGAGCAGTACTTCGACCACTCTTGTTCTTTCTTTCTGCCTTGCAAAATGTCTATTATCTTATTTTTTGGTTAATCTCATATTCAGATTAAATTTTTATACAAAATTGTCTGCAATGGTCATGATTTGAGATATCTGTGGTTATTAAACCACATGCAATTGGAATCAGCTATTCAGACTGCCATAAAAGGGTATCTCTTATTTGCTGAGAAAAAAGCTAAATAAAACAAAGAAGAAATTCAGATATCAGTTCATTCCTAAAAATCAGCAAACTTTCATAAAATAATTTTTTTTAAATGTTTCTGATTGACTGACCTACAGAATCTAGTATTTAAGGTAATCAGAATGTTGCATTTCGGGAATAGTCAATGGCATACCCTTCTTGGCTAGTTTCTCTCAGGTCCAATGATCTATTCAATTTCAGTTTTAGAGCTGTTAAGAATAAAAGAAACCATGATGATCATAATATTAATATTGCCCGCTTAAAAGTGACCATAGGAGCTTTTCTCACATTCCTAATGATGGGAGATCTTTATTTGGTGAAAAGGTTGTCACAGGACAATGAGAAGCAGAACAATTAACAGGAAGTGGGATCCATCAGCCTTGACAGAGAATTATCCTGCTGAGTAAAAGTATAGAGGCATGGGGCACATTCCTATTCTTTGTTCACTGAACACTGCTTACAGTTGCACAGGGGCATCGGGCTTATACCATCTCTTCGTTCTCTCTCCATTGCCTTACACAGGAGAGTAGCTCTACAGCGTAAGAGAGGGCACAGACTGTACTTTTCCTTCCTTCTCTGAACTAATCTTAATATTCGCTGCATTAGTACAGGCACACAGGGGCACTGTGAGAGCCAAGGTCCCTGGGCACTAAAGCACTATTAATCTGATCCCAATGCAAGTGTTTTCAGTCACAATGATGTTTAGCTTCTGAGGAGCAGGATGAGCTCACACCATCACCCATCAAGATTCTCAATGCTGGTAACAAAGACTTCGTACATTATCCTTGTCTTCCACCACTGCACATGCAAAGATCTCCCTTCCAACAGGGCCATGGTCTCTATTGGTTATTGTAAAGCCCCCAAATCTACTACTTGCTTCTTGTTGAGCTTGCAGATATCTGGCCTCCAGTTTCTTTCTGTCCCCAGGATACTTCTCATGATTCCACTCAAAAACTCATCTACAAGGTGCGGGGATAGGAGCGAGTTCCATGCTGAAGTCCACTCTTTCTGTCATTCACATGCCAATTTGCTATCAAAGCTGGAGAGTCCAATGGCAAAGGCCTGGAGGGCACACAGGGGGTAATTATAGTCCAGAGTGAACACATCTTCTGCTACACGACCAAACTGCATCACAATGTAGTCAGCTAGGGAGGCAAAGAGAGGGGGTCAGAAACTAGCTATTTCATACAGAGAGTGGAGCAGTTCCAAATACACCTAGCTGGAGAGTCTATCCCATCTTCCCTCCTTACCAGAGTGGCTCAGAATCTGCTTTTCCAGAACAATAGTCCTGCTGACTTCCTTTACAGAGAAATCCCAGATCTATGCTTTGGCTGGGACAGCAATTCCCTATTACTCTCCTTTCTGTCTTCAGCATCTTGCTCATCCTGTAGTCCTTGTGTAGGAGCAGTGTTCACAAATTCCCCTACCCCTAATGCAACAATGCTCTTTTCCTCATTGGATGACAGACCCATTCCCCACCCCACTCTGGCAGAAGCCTGAGCTCTTACGGTCATTCTCATGGACGATCTGGAAGTTCTTCACTGAGGCCTGAGTGACTCTGCCATGGAAATTCAAGACGTACGATTGAGTGTCATCATTCCAGACTGGAGCCTTGTTGTGAAGCTCAATCAGGTTCTCCAGGCTTTTATTTTGCCAGTTTGACAACAAGCTCTCATGCTCCTGCTCAAGAGAAAAAATATACTTGGGAGGATCCACTTTTAGTCATTGCCTCTCTCAAGTTAGGTTTACTCTGTAATAAGGATGTTAAATTGTGGTTATCTAGCTAATTGTGTATTCGATTCAATTTGTATCAACTATATGCTTAGTTGATAAGGACCACTCTACAGAGCCACAGCAAGGGTAGCTCTGGGAGCCAGCTCGAGCTGGAACTGAGCAGTCTTGGCTTGTTCCAGGTCCAGGAGCTACCCACACTGCAGCTCTACATTTTAAATGTAGTAAAAGTCGTTGGGCTCTTACTACATTTAGAATGCAGAGGCACATCATCCTGGACAATCGCAAGCTAGGACTTCTCAGTCCCAGCTGGCACTGAGTCCAGCAGCCCCTGTTTGCAGCGGCCAGGGGATGCTGCTGGAGCAACCCCTGCACATGGCCAGCCCAGGCCACCGTGAACAAGGGCTGCTTGGTGGTAGCAGCCCCTCTCTACAGGGAGGCAGGGGGGCCCAGCTCCCTGCTGGAGGCTGTTGCTGGAGTAGCCTCTGCCCATGGTGGGCAAAAGCTGCTTCTCAGCAGCCTCTCCTATCCACCCCCGCTGCCTCTGATAGAGGGCCCCCCCCGGGGGGAAGGGACAGGTGGCACTGCAGAGACGGTGCTGGGGGGAAATGGCTTTTAAGCCAGCTCCCCCCAGTACCGGCTCCTGTCCCCCGACTTGCTGCCTCTCATAGAGGCGCAAGGGGAGGGGGGAGTGAGTAGTCGATACTTCGGTCAACTGCTTGGTAACATCCCTACTCTGTAACCATGTGTATCACCGATCTAGTGAACAATACACTCAGCCCTGCTGAAATAAGATCCTGCAGGTATTATGGGGTATGTCTACACTACCCCGCTAGTTCGAACTAGCGGGGTAGTGTAGACATACCCCATAATACCTGCAGGATCTTATTTCAGCAGGGCTGAGTGTATTGTTCACTAGATCGGTGATACACATGGTTACAGAGTAGGGATGTTACCAAGCAGTTGACCGAAGTATCGACTACTCACTCCCCCCTCCCCTTGCGCCTCTATGAGAGGCAGCAAGTCGGGGGACAGGAGCCGGGACACGGGGGGAGAG